ACATGCAGGGAGCTTCAGTGCACTGGCACGTGAAAGAAGCAGGTCTGGGCAGGCGCCACGCCCACACCAGGTGACTGCGGCCCGGTGACACTCTGGGAAAGGTGAAACTAAGAGGGCAGCTGAGAGATCAGTGACGGTGGAGGCGCAGGGGCGGGATGGGGAGGTGAGCACGGGGGGTTTCCAGAGCGGTGGAATGATTCTGTGCGACACCGTGATGGCAGATGCATGTCAATGTACTTCTGTCAAAACCCGCAGGGTGTGGAGCACAAGGGGCAAACCCTCATGAACCTTCAATTTTAGTTAACATTGTGTCAACTATTGTTTAATCATATAACAATGGTCCCACACGTAAACAAGATACTAACATTGGATAAGCAGTATGTGCGGGCGTGTGTGGATGTGTGTGTGAGAGAAGGAGAAGGGGGCACACGGGAACTCTGTACTTTCTGAGCAATTTTTCTGTAAGCCCAAAACTACCCTAAAAAAATAAAATCTACCTGTGGCTCAGTGAGTAGGGCACTAGCCTCATATACCGAGGGTGGCGGGTTCAAACCTGGCCCAGTTTGCCAAACTGTAACAAAAAAATAGCCGGGCGCTGTGGCGGGTGCCTGTAGTCCCAGCCACCGCGGAGGCTGAGGCAAGAGAATTGCCTAAACCCAAGAGCTGGAGGTTGCTGTGAGCTATGATGCCACAGCACCCTATAGAGGGCTACAGAGTGAGACTCTGTTTCTAAAAAAAAAGTATAAAAAAAATAAATAAAATCTATCAAAAAAGTGCAGACATCTCTGTGACCACACCTAGAGCAGAACCTATGCCAAAATGGAGGGGGACTGTTAGCGTCTGCTCCCCTAGTCAAGGGTCGAACATTCGGGGTTCAGAGCACAGCCACAGGGGGCCGGAACTGCTGCAGCGGGGGCCTCTCATTCGCCACCCCACCCCAGCCCAGGGTGCTGCAGGTTCTGGAGCGCCCCCTTCCTGGGGGGGTGGGCATGGGGCTGTTTCTGAGTTCAGGAGCTTAGTGGGGGCAGGACCCGGGATGTGTGTCAGGTGGTTTTTGGTGGGAATGGAGAAGGAGTGGGCAGCTGCTGAGACAGACTGAAATGAAGCTGGGTGATATTTGACTCTGGATTAACAATTAAAAAATAAAAAGCAAGGGAAGAGAGTTTCCACCTTTTCAGAGCTGGAAGAGATCTGAGACCACCTATTCCATCCTCTCACTGTACAGCTGAGGAACCTGAGTCCCACAGGGAGTAGCGGCAGTCTGAGGCTGCGCTTGGGTGTCCCTGACTCTCACGTCCACGCTCCACACAACTGAATCAGCCTGCGAATGCCTCTCAAACCCGTGCTTCTCTCCCATCTCACCTGAGCAGCAGCTATGCTTTAGGCCTTCCAATGGCTGCCCACTCCCCTAAGGGAACCTCCCCACCATGTCCCCCGGGCTCTTAACCCTCTCCAGTGTCATCTCTGTCCCCTCTCCTGCCTTACCTGCCTCTCCAGTGTCATCTCTGTCCCCGCTCCTACCTTACCTGCCTCTCCAGTGTCATCTCTGTCCCCTCTCCCCACCTCTTCTACACTCAGCCTTCTTGCCACCCCCAACCCTCAGACTCTGGAAACCCCCAACACCTCTGCATGTCCTCAACCCCCACCCCAGCTCTCATTTATCTCTGGGGCTGGTGTGTTCTCTTCCCCCCCAGCTCCTCTCCTGCCTCATTTGCCACCAGCGGGGCTGCCTGTGCTGCCTGAGTCACACGCTGCTGCCTGGTTCCCAGTCCTTAGTCCCACTGGGCTGGAGAGAGCAGACAGGGCCTGCACAGAGGAGGTGCTTCATAAATATTTATTGACTGAAACAGCATCTATAAATATTTCTTATAGGCTGCAAGCAGAAAATACTAGTCTCAGTTTCCTTAGGCTCCATCCCAGCCCCTTGCCCTCAGCTCTTTATGCTTCTCTTGGTATTTAGGTTTCTTTTCACCACAGCGTTGGAGAAACAGCGAGCCAGGGCTCTGTGGGCGGCCACAGTGGCCCTGAGCATGTGGGTGAGGCTCTAGAGAAGCGTGGCAGGTTCGTGGATCCTATTCAAGTGGCTGGGCCACTCTTTCAGCCACTTAAAACAATGTAGTACAGGCAGGCAGGGATGGGTTTCTAGCCAGCCCAGCGTAGAGACGGTACGGTGCCTGCCACAGCAGTTAAACACGGACATGTCAATGCACACACACTCTGCATTAAGTTTTATGATTTCAATACCACCACGTTCAGCACTCACCCGCCCTGACAAGTGACTGCTGCTCTCCCAGGCCCTGTTTTGCCTGCTAGACAAAGCATCTTTACTGTGGTCTTTCCCCTTGGAAATATATGGGCATTAACTTTTATGTTTTAAATCCAAAATAGAGAATAAAATTAGGGAAGCAGGTTAGTGTTAATCTACAGGGTTGCCTGTGGAGATGAGTAAGTCCTTCAAAGTCCTTGAGGGCATTTACAAGGATGTCCAGCCCTCCCTCAGCAAAACATTCTATAGCATGCAGAGAAGGGCTGTGTTGAGAAGGAGGGCAAATGTGCAATGGGCCTAGAGTTGAAAATTTTCCTTTGCATGGAAATCGGGGCCTACTGAAGCCCAGGATGGGCTCCTGGAAGGGGACACAAGGGTGAACAAGTGCAGCCCATTTTAGCCCACCTGCTTGGGCAGACCCAGACAAGCTTCACCTGCAGACAAAGTTGAAGGGTAAGGGTCTGAGGCAGGTCACAGGTGCCTGGGTATATACATGCTGGAGAGACCCACATGAGCCCCCAACCCTGCACACTCACAGGGCAGCAGCTGCCACCTCTCAAATGCCCACCACACTCCCAGGCTTGCCTCACACTAGCTGACATCCTCACCCCATCCCCGTGAGGACAGCAGAGGTAAACGATCTCCAACTTGGGTGTAAAGAAATTGTCCAAATGCACAGCCAGCAGTTGTAGAGGAGGGTTTTGAGGCTACTGACATGCCTGTTGCAAAGCCCAGGCTCTCTCTCAACATTGCACGGCCTCTGCAGGGAATGCCCAGAGACTGGAGTCATGTCAGGGGAGGGGCACTGCATATTGGGCGTGGAAGGCAGGAACAAAGGCATGGAAGAAGCGTCTGGACCTGGCAGCTTGCCCTCCATGGGCCTTTGTGTGTGGCGGCCCTGCTGTGTGGCCTGGAGCCAAGCCTTCTGCAGGAGGAGGAGGCAGCATGGAGCGTGCCAGCGGCTGGGCCGGGAAAGGTTCTAAAGATTCCACACTAAAGATTCCACAAGAACAAATCATAGCCTTGCAATTTACGAAAGCGACATGGAAGTGAAGTGTGAAGGCACCAGTGCCTTCTGCTGTGCTCCTGACGGGAAGCAAGTCAGACAGATAACCGCTGCTTTGCAGGTCCTGGGAGCAAGCACCAAGTGAGCACCGCGGGGAAGGAAGCCTATGACCCTGACAAGAGTATAGCATTTTGGGGGGACAACTAGTTAGAGGAAACAGGCCCCCACCCCTGACACACATACACTCCAGAAGGTTTCAAGACCAGTGTTCCTGGGAAACAACAGAAAAGTAACTTTCCCCCCCGGCCCAGGCTGGCACCAATATCAGCCCCTGGTTGGAAGATCAGCACCTCTGCAAAAGAGAGTGAGTCCAAGATTAATCCTTGGTGCAAAGATCAGTCCCTGTGCAGAAGAGATGACTCCCCAGTAACCCCCTCCCACATTCCAATACACCAATAAGGTCAATAAAAGCCCCTTGGAGCTGCATGACAGGGAGCTGAACTCTGGTCAGACTCCTTTCTGCTCTTTCCTCATAATAAAAATTCTTTATCTCCAGACTGCCCTCTTCCCTTCTTGGAAACCATCACCCTAACTCTACTCTCAAACATCTCAAGCGTATCAGGCTGGCCTGATGGAGAGCCCTCAGCTTCTCAACTGCCACTCCAAGCCCATGCCCACAGCCGTCCCTCTCTCTAGTCAGGGAGGCCTGTGTGGGGCAGGGCTCTTGCTGGCACAGGACACCCCCAGGGCATGGATTCCTAACACAGCCCATTTGGTCTCCCACTGCCTCATTCTTGAGCTGGTGTGAGAGAGATTGGTTCCATTCTGCATCCAGAGGGCCTCTGGGGATTGTTAGAAGAAAAGAAAATCAGGATCATGACATGCTTGGAATATCATGATTCTTTCCTGACACAGACACTCACTATGATGAGAAGAAGAAGTCACTGTACACATTTCCGGGTGAAACTCTGATGTGGCTACACAGGAGAAGGATCCAGGGGAGAGTCCTGGGGACTTGGTTAGACATTGATTTTGGAATTAAGCAGGCACACCTTCCTCCCAGACCCCATTCTTAGGACAATGTTGACACTCATCCCTAGATGTGCATGATGTCCAGGGCATCTGTCCCCTGGTGCTGGGGCTGCAGGTGAGGTGGCTCCACGTGGCTGCTCTCGACTCTGGGAAGGTCAGCCCCAGACATGGCCCCTCATGTCTCCTCTGACCGCTCCTGTAGGAAACAAGGCACTTACCTGGTGGTGTCTGAGACACAGTCTCCGTAAGGAGGCCAGGAGAGAGCACAGGTGCGGGGGCAGCCACAGCTCCCCAGCTTCTCTCATTCCCACTCAGCCCATGCTGCCCGCCTCTGTGCAGGCCAGGCGATGTCACCACACACACCTGTGAAAGCCAACACCACCAAACAGGGCTGGCATGAACAGCTGTGCCAGTGATGGGACAAGACCATCGCTAAAGGAAGCTGTAACTACTGAACCCTTGTGCTCAGTGTCACCACTAAGGATGGTGGCACCACCACCCAAGGGCAAACTCTGTGCTAGGCTCTGGGCCAGGTGAGCACTGTCCACACGTCTCCTTCTCTGTCACGTCCTTAATCTGACATTGTATTCCATCACCCACGATCAGGTACCTCCCCACCCCACCCGGACTCTCCATCACCCACGATCAGGTACTTCCCCACCCCACCCTGACTCCACTCAGCTATTAAAGTCACGCTTCAAGCTGTCATTTTCTTTTTAATTTTTAATCAGTCTGTGTCAAGAAAAAACAGGACTTGATCAGGCTTCCAGCCCTCACTGCTCTATCAGCATAGCAATTTTATGGATCAGATTTTTGTTTACGTTTGTCTAAAACCCAGAGGAGGAAAGGAGTCAACTCCACAGATCAACACGTATTTGAAGAGACTCTTCAGGACACTTTGGGAAATTTTTTTGTCAATCAACTTCTTAGGAATAATAGCCAGTGGGCACCATGCGACCCCTCGCAGTGGGAACGCAGGAAAGGCAGGCAGGGAAGGGCCAAAAACCCCTCAGTCAAGAGGGGTGAGCTGCCAGTGAGCTGGGATGCCAGGCCTTGACCCCACAGGGCAAAAATGGGGGTAAATGCAACCTCACACTTCCTCTGGAGGTGGCATATGTTTACAGAAACAATTTCTGTTTTGGAAAATAAAAGCATGGTTGAGTTTGGGGTGGGGGCAACAATGACAATAGTCAACTGAGATCAGTTGTTGAGTGGAATCTTTCTAAAATGCTGAAACCCAACAGTACCTTGGTCACTGTCTCCACCATGAGATGGATTTGAACATATTCTGACTGTGTGTAAGTCACAAGATTTACCTAACGCCATGGATCCGGGTGCGATGCCATGAACACAAACTCTGAGGCCATGTCACCAGAGCACAAAGTACACGAACTCTACTTTTTGAAGACATTTCCAGAAAGCAGAGTCTGCCTGCCTTCCCTTTCCTTTCTCTGTGGAATGGCCACATCCGGGTTTAGTCGTGGCTTTGAGTAGAGAAGACCAGACGCAGAAGTTTTCCAAATGCCCCACGAGAACCTTTCTTTGGGAGTCAGCCCTTACGGGAGTGCAGGGGGCTCTGCTGTTCTTCCCACATCCCAGCACGGACTTTCTGCAGAGGCCAACCCATCTGAATTTGGAGCGCAGACACAGTTTGAAGCAGATGTGAAAAGCGAATTTACATAATGTGACATGCTTTCAGAGGGGGCAGGGAGTAATCGTAAGTCACCAGGCTGTGTGATTTAGTGTATTCAGGGATGTGTGTGTAATTGTTCCATGTTCCACAGCACAGGACGCACTGAACACCTCCATCCAGGATGGCAGGGGGCTTCCCCTCTGCCCTGGGCTCTCTGTGGGTCTTGATGAGTTCCCAAGTCTCACGTAAGAGCACTGCTGCTACAGTCTGTCAGCCTCACTGCTGAGCCCAAGACGCATGATTTGAATCACTGTCCCGGTCTAGATAAACTAGAAAAGCTGGCCCCAAGCTCAGTCCTTCTGTGGCCTCCCTCCAAGCTATACGGCTCCTTTCCCCCAAAGGAGCAGTAGAATCATCACAATTTTCCTGGGTTAGGGATCTTCTTCCATTAGAGGGATCTCTGTAAAAGAAGAGAGTGTTTTTAGCTTCATGTAACCCGAATACACCACAACAATTTGGAGTCTCATTAAAATATCTACAAGTCCTGAGATCAGTGTGGAGAGGAAAAAAATGCTAAGTTCCATGTAGCAGTTAGTAATCAAATAAATCAACTCCCCTATACAATGTTTATTTGCTGGAAAAAAATTAATGATCCTATTTCCAGTTCACAAACAATAAAATGTTAGATTTTAACCACCGATCCTCAGGGTCATATAAGCCCAAAACAATTACAAATTCAAGTACAGTGAGGCAGCCTGATTTGCAGAACAGGAACTCTCTGGGGATGTAGGAGACCCATGTTTCTGTGTCGTTAACGTCATTTACTATCACACTAAGCTCGAACTAGTGCTTCCATTTGCAAAGTTGTGTGGTGCTCCCCTCCCTTAGGAAACAGAACCTCAATCAATCTGCCACAGTTTTCCCACATCACCATGTGCTATAACCTGCCTTTCCCTGTGACAGGTACACGAGCATCCTGGTAAAAATAACTTCTATGTGCACAGAACTTGTCTGGGGCTGGAGCGCTCTGCTGGGCCCTAGCGCCTACATCTGTCCTTCTTCCTGGCATGCAGTGTCATCCTGTCCTTAAGTCCCACTTGCAGAAGTCCTGCCTAATTAAGAGATAAAGAAGAAAAACATCCTGGATGACATGAATGCTACGGAAACACCACCGGCCACTGCTGCCTTTCTACTACAGATGGCTTGGCGCCCTTGCCTGCCTCCTGAAATTTCTGTTAATGGGCTCATTACTTGTGAGACGATAATCATTCCTTACAATAATTGGCCTTGCCCGCAGCCTCTGCGCAGAGAGAGCGCAAGAAGCAATTTAAACTGAGTGAGAGGTAAACAGATTGATTCAGCTCTGTGACGGGGAGTGGGGGGCTGTGTGTAGCAAGGGGCTGGCTTGGAGACGTGAGGTGCTGGGCACGTGCGGGGCAGGCGTAGGCTCAGGGCAAACACTTACCGTCTGCGATGTCGATGCCTGGGCTGGTAGATGCCACCTCCCCCACTGTGCTGGCCATTGTGTCAGGGTTGTCGGAAGCAGGCTGAGTGCCCTCTTGGCACATGGGAGATGAATACAGACTCTGGAGCAGCTCAGATGAGCCTGACACACTGTCACAGGTCTCTGACTCCCCTGGGCCTGTGTCCGTGTCCCCTGAGCCAGGGTATGCTGGGGGACTCTGGTCGTCCACGGGTAAGGGGCAGCCCTGGCCCACAGAAGCCAGGTATCCGGAGCCTAAGGCACTCAAGCCGCCACTCACAGCCTCGTCATAGGACGGGAGCATGACGGGCACGCCGTCCACCACCACAAAGTCAGGGTCGCTGCTGGAACTCCTGGGAGGTCCCCTGTGCAGCAGAAAGCAGGGCCAACATGTCAGAGCCATGCCACCCCACAAATGAGGCCACCTGCGCTCCCCAGTGCAGCTGGGTCCTCAGGGCCCATGGCAGGCAGCAGAGGACAGTGTGGGTGGTAGTGTGGAAGATCCAGCCTCCTCTCTGGGTCCCTGCTGGCACACAGTGCTGTCCCCCACAGCCACCCCGAGAGACGAGTGCTCTCTTCTCCCTTTCTGGCCCTCTGCCTCTGCACCCTGCCACCTCCTCACTCCTTCCTCCCTCCTTTGACCTGTGGGCTAGGACATAACCTCGTGGGGCAGGAGGCCACATGGCCCATGCCAAAGTACTCTGCAGTGCCCTTGGGGTGCTGCTGAATGTAGAATATCAGCATCAAATGTACAGGGAGTGGTAGACCCTGAGTGCCCACAGGGCACAACCAGCCGTGTGCTTGTCACAATTCTTTATTGCTTTCTGCTACGGCCCTCAAATCACTAATATTTAGTCAAGATAGAAAAACAACATGAAAAAAGTGGGGGTAGAGCTCTGAGCACCATCTCACCACCTCATTCCAGCTATGTGGCTCCACTTCCGGCCCCTCGGGGCACTCCAGTCTGGGCCAGGCCTCAGCTGCCAGGCGTGAAGTCATTCAGTGCTCCCTACATGGGACATCCGCTGCTCCTGGCCTGGTCCCCTCTGCCTCTCGGCACCTGCACATCCAGCCCTGCCTGATGGGAGCCCAGGTGGCATCTGACGCACAGCCCGAGCTCTGTGTGACCGTCACGCTCTGCTCCTGGCCTCCATGAGAGCAGCCATGAGAACCGGGGTTCTTACTTCCTCTGCTGCGAGCTGGTGCTCAGTGATGGGACTACAAGGTCAAATGTCAGGAAGAAAAGACTGCTGCACTGGCTGGACAGACCCTGCATCTCTGAGCACCTGTGGCAGGGGCTCCAAAACCTGAGGACACGTCTGGATGTGACATACGAGGTGGAAGGTGTCAGGCCGTGCTTCTCTCTCACACCCTGGGGACAGTCTCAAGTCCACTGACTTTTTGAAATACTTTGCAAAGGCTTAGAGCTCGTGGCAATGGGCTTCTTGTTATGAAACTCTTAAAGGCTTCCCAGAGAAGGCAGGAGACCACCAAGACCACCCTCCCCAGAAGACAGGAGGCAGGAGAGAGGGAAGAGCTTCTCCAAATCAGATCACTTCTCTGCAGCAGCCGCTGCCTACTGTGTCCCTGACAAGTGAGGCTCCCTTTCTCTCTGGCTACACTGCTGTCCCAACTGGACTCCTCTTCTCATTTGGGACTCCAGGCTCCTTCTTGTTCCTCTCCCCTCCACACCACCTAGGCCAGGCCTGGAAGATTGCCTTTCCCTCTCCATTTCTCATCCCGGCAGTTCACACCCAGGCCTTGGTTCTTGCGACCTGGCAGCTTCCCTTCTGTGTGTCCCAACCACATCACTAAGCCCCCCGTCACGAACATCTCCACAGGGTCCATTCTGGGCTTGCCCTTGAGAACCTTGCTATGTAGTTGGAGAGATGAGACCAACTTCCCCCAAACGACTTGAGAATAATAGAAGATGGAAATACTCAAGGGCTAAAAAAAACCAATTGATGCAGTTTTGAGAACATTTTAAAAACATCTTAATATGTAGTCGATATCCTGGAAACTTTTCTTCCAAGCGTATGTAGAAAAATAGCTCTCTGGGCCATTTTAAAGTACTCTGATGTACCATAAATCACGACCATGTAGGTTAGCTCTCTTTGTAATCCTTAAGCCTTCTTCAGATGCTGTAATTGCCCAATGATAGAACATGGTCCCCTGATTAATAAATAATAATGTTGAGGACAGAGACTGGATGGCAGGTTTGAGAGGAAGGAGGGTTCTGGCTTCTCAGCAAGGGCTTGGCTCTAACACCAGGTTGCACAGATGCACTTCTGGGCCTGGGGAGGGACACAGGTGACCCCACATCTAGTGCACTTTTGTGGCTGGGGAGAGGGGAGTGCCTGTTGGGTTGTGACCACATGGACCTCCGCTGCCAGGCAGGGGAGCATTGCTAAGTGAGGTAAGGCTGCCCTGGGGGGTGGGAGATGGAGAGAAAGGTGGGCAGATGCTGTCTCCAGTGACTCTGCCCACTGTCCTCACCCATCACACAGCCAGGAGGTGTAAGAAACACCCTGGATTTTCCTGGAAAGAAGAGCAAGTGGTTAATTCCAGGAGCCTCCTTTTCCACTGAGCAATATTCCCTTTTTCTGGGGTTGGTGCAAATGACCCTGGACAACAGTCCCTGTGGCCAAAAACAAAGGCCCCTTTCTGAACCATTAGGCTCCAACATGAAAGGCTGTGTCACGGCCACAGAATGCAAGGGGAAGGCAGCTTGCATCAGTGTCCTGGGCAACACAGGGTGCTGATTTGCTGCCCAGACTCCTCTGCTGAATGTCCATGAATTCATCTCCGCTTCCTAAACTACTTCATCTTCCAGAAACAATGAGCTGCCAGCTGTGATGCCGGGTGCTTCTCATTGTCCCCAGGGGTGCTGGTGCGGTCCTCCTTGGCAATGATGACTATGATGGTGAAGACATCAGCCCAACTTAATTGGTGCAGCCAAGAAAGATGAGGGCCACGTCAGAGTGTCCAACTCTGCAGGTCCTGACCTGACTCCAAGATAGATTCTCACAAGCCCAAGACTTCTCCTGAGACTTCCCAGCACACCTTTGTGTCACACACCTTGACCTCATGTCTGATTAGTTGTGTGCATGTCCTATGGATGGTGAGCACCATGGTGCATGCCTCCAGGGCCACAAAGAAAACAGCACCCCAGGTAGGGCAGTGCACAGCTTACAGCCCTGATCCTGTGCTTCCTGTGCTAGCCCCACAATGCCTGCCTAAGAATGGTCTACTGAGGGAGGGAGGAAAGCGGGAAAGAGGTCTGTTTCCAGCATGGGGATCTGATCTCAGAAACCCCAAAACATTCCAGGAAAGTAGCTCTGGCTCTCCCTTGTGTTCCCCGAGAACCTCAACTTTGCCGTCATCCTGTTGCCTCTCTGCTGCTGAAGGTGGCTGCCCTGTGCCTAGCCCAGGGAGGCCATGGGTGCCAACATGCAGCACTGACCTGGGGGGAAAGTGGGCCTTGAACTTGGTCTGGAACATCCTGGCCAGGATGACAAGCAGCAGCACCAGCAATACACTGGTAGCCGTGAATGCCACGATCTTCCACGTGGTCAGGAGGGTCTCGTGGGTGCCGGGCCACGTTTGCTCTGCCGTGAGAGAGAACAAAACCGGGCATGAGGCTCTCAGACCAGAATAGGCTCTGAGCTTCCCTGAGGGCTTACCTGCTGGATTGACCCATCACGTAGTGTGGCTGCCTGAGCCCAGGGCTCGGCAGAGACACCACACACCCCACACTGCTCATGTGAATTGTGTCAGGATCCACACAACAGTATGGGCTGCTCTGCCAGGCACAGACAGGCTTATTCACAGTCCAGCCGTGGGCGAGGGTCTGGCACAGACCTAATAATGAACTGGGTTCTTTAGAATGAAGAGGGTGGGGGTCTCTTTCCCCTGGAGAAGTTGTTCTGAAACGGACCAAGGGGTGGGGGTGCAGGAAGCTGTGAGTGTTCTGGGACCTACAGTTGGGTGAGAGGAGCAAGGAACCCAGGGTGAAGGGGACATGTGTACTCTATGATCCTTATTCTCTGTCACCTCTGGCTGTCAACTGTCTGCCAGGTCAGGCACAGCAGCAGCAGACCCTTCCAGAAGAGATTCTTGTTCTCTCAACACAGGTCACCCTGCCTCAGGACTTCCCTCTGCCCTGTAGCCTTCTGTGTGTCTCTGGAGAACCCGCAGGAACAAGCACTTCCCTCACACTCTGTGAAGGGGAGAAGCACGCAGCCATCCCCACTGCTCAGAGCAGCTGCCGCAGCCTGGGAAGCACTAAAGACAGTGGGCAGGAGGCAGGAGGCTGTGGGCAGGAGGCCGTGGGGCAGCACCCAGGCTCCCTCCTTTGCTCATTACCCTAGAGTGCTTGGGCCAGTGAGGAGGTTGGTTTGCAAGTAATTTGTGATTAACTAGGACTACTGAAGCTTGCAAATAGCCTCTCCAGGGGTCCTCAAACTTTTTAAACAGGGGGCCAGTTCACTGTCCCTCAGACCGTTAGGGAGTTGGACTGTGGGCCCCGGGACGAGTCGGCTGCTAAGCAGGACAGGCAGAGGTGGCAAAAACACCTGGTGGACTGGATAAATGTCCTAGGCGGGCCGCATGTGGCCCGTGGGCCGTAGTTTGAGGACGCCTGGCCCATACTGTTATAAGTGACAGCAGGTGTTACCCACAGTATAGCATCTGTATTCTGATACGTAATTATGAGTGGAAGAGAAGGGGGGGGTTATGCCTTGCTTGGGTCCCAGGGCAACGTGCATAATTCTGCTCACACCGTGGACCTATGTCCTTGCTAGAGGAAAGGGAAAAGGCTAGGAGACAACAGAGCGCACAGTGCCTGCAGGTCCTTCCATGGATCCCGGGGGTGTGGGGACCCTGTCAGAGGGTCGGCATTTTTACCTGGGAATGAGCAGGTTGACTAACACTTCTGACCCTATGAACAGGTACTACAATTATATGGCACAGAGTCCAATATCAGCCCCCACCCCCACCCCCCCCGCCGCCCACAGCGATATGTTTCACTATCTTGCTCCTGGCAAGGAGAGGTGCAACTCAGGACACAACCACAGCCTGCTGTGCGCACATGATCCCAGGAGGGTCGATCCCCGCCAAGGGCAAGGCTTTTGATCTCACCGGATTTGATGCAGTAGACTTGATAGGAAGGAAACCACTCTCCGTACTGGCAGGTGATGTACTTGTAGTCACTGGTGAGGCTGTAGCCAGGATCACAGTAAAACTCCACCACAGTCCCGTGGTTGTAGCGCTCACAAGGCCGCGGGTGGCAGATGAAATCTCCGTGACTCACCATTGGAGGTAGTGGACAAACTTGGGCAGTGGGGGAGAATAAGAGTTTCAGAACCAGATGCTTACCCTGTCTGAGGACACAGATTGATCTAGGACAACTCAGTTACTTAAAGATGTGCTTACACATTAATCACCATTCCTTCTGTAACTCATGTGAAATAAAAAAGAAAAAATTAATCACTAGACTATTGAGTTGTACTAGAGATGGTCCCTTCTTTTGTAATTTTGCATGAGGTCCAACGGAAGCCTGTTATGGTATTCTGAGCATGTGCCACCATGACATGGCATTGTAAAGTGCCTCGTAAAGGAGAGGTTCATTTTACAATGCAAAGAATATGCCTATTTAATAGATAGTATTAAGCGGCTCTATTAATAATGCATGCTATTATGTGCCAGACAGCCTAGTAAATAAGGTTAAGATATTTATGGACAAAATCTTTACCAAAAGGCATAGCTATCCCAAGCCTGTTTCTGTGGCCATGGCAATAATTTGGGGCTGTTCGAGTCATGGGGCAGGGTCCCTAATGTGATCCACCAGTGCCCTGCTGGGGTTTGGCCAATGACAAATGTGGAGAAGTTCTTCCAGCTCTGGTGACAGACCCAGGTTACACACTTCTTCTCACAGGCAAAGCTGGCCCCTGGGGAATGAAAATCAAAGCCCTGTTTTCTATGGTTTGTTCTGCCACCTACACACTGTGTGACCTTGAGCAGGTCCCTGAACCTCTTAAAGTCCTTGGTTTTGCCCTCTGTAAGGAAACTTATTCTACTGTAGATGATGTTTTAAGTTTTTCCCATCATGTTAGGGGAAGAAAAAGTTGTTTTTAGTTTCCTATCCTGAGACTGCGTTCCGGGTTGAGAAGTGAGAATGGTCCCAGAAAGACAGACAGCGTTAGTGGAGTTGGCTGCCTATTCATCTTGTGCCACAAAGAGCTCCTTCCTGGAGGAGGACCCAACAGTAAACAGCGCTGCCACACTGCAGTCTTCAAGAAACACGCAAGCCACAAACGCCAGCTTCAGAACCACAGCTGTGGCAACCACTGAGAAATAACAAATAACAAAACCAAAACAAAACCAACCAAAAGAGACTCAACTTTTGAGCCTCTTCCCAAGGGTGTCCAATGGGTCCTGGGGCAGGAGGCCTTTTCTGTGGTCAAGGGCGTACTAAGTGTCCATTGACAGACGAATGGACAAAGGAAACGTGTCATGTATACACCAAGGAATGCTGTCCAGCCTTAACAAACAAGGAAATCTTGACATTTGCAACGTGGATGACCCTGGAGAACATTATGCTAACTGAAATAAGCCGGAAGGACAAATACTGCAAGATCTCACTTGTATGTGGGATCCAGACAAATGGAGGAAGGATTAGTGGAGGAAATCCTGATGATGTAGGTCAAAGGGTAAAAAGTTGCAATTATGCAGGATGAGCAGGTTAGAGACCTAATGTGTAGCATGGGGACTACAGTGAATAGTGTTGTATCTTAATGCTAGAAATGTCCTGAGGGAGCAGATTTTGGGTGCTCTCACCCCAAAAAATAAAGGGTATCTGTGTGAGGAGATGTATTATGGTAATTAACTTGCTTGACTATGGTATTCATTTTAGTATATATGCATCTCAAAACATCATATACAATTTTTATGAAAGAAAGAAAAGGATATATAGAGCAGTGGGGCTCTCCTCTTGGAAGACTTTCCCAACAAGTCCCTGAGGGCCACTGTAGGATTAAAAATTACCAGAACTGTTTTCAAGGCCCCAAAACCATCATGCAAGAGGCCCTGCAGATGTGCGTACGCCTGTCAGCAGCAGCAACCTGCCTCTCTCGGTCTGAAGGGTAAATGACTGTTCAATCATAACGTTAACCCTGAGGCAGATGCTAGAGCAGCAGTCCCCAACCTTCTTGGCACCAGGGACCAGGGGAGGGAGGGGACGGTTTGCATATGAGTCTGCAAGAAATTGATTAATTATAGTCTCTGTGCCGTGGAACTTCTCTGCTAGTGGTAATCTGCAGTTGTAGCCACCCCCCAGTGCTAGCATGACAGCCTCAGCTCCACCTCAGATCATCAGGCATTGGATTCCCATTAGGAGCATGCAGTCTGGATCACTCACATGCACAGGACAGTAGGGTTTGTGCTCCTGTGAGAATCTAATGGGGCCACTGATGGGACAGGGGGCTGTGATGTGAGTGATGGGGAGTGGCTGTAAATACAGATGAAGGTGTGCTTGCTTGCCCACCACTCACCTCCTGCTGTGTGGCCCAGCTCCTAATAGCCAAGGACTGGTAGGTCTGTGGCCCAGGAGCTGGGGACTGCAGTGTTAAAGAGTGGCTACACTATATGATCAATCATTTAACAAGGCAAATGAAGGCAGCCTGGTGTGTACATGTTGGTGTAGGCTATAGAGTTAGCCAAATTTGTGTTCAAATCCCAGCTCCACTACTGATAAGCAATAGAGCATGAAGTAGCTTGTTTAATTTCTTGGAGTCTTAGCTTTCCCCTCTGTTTAAGGAAAGAAACAATTCCCAACTACTACAGTTTGTTATGATTAAAAGATCTATAATAGGGCGGCGCCTGTGGCTCAAAACGTTAGGGCACTGGCCCCATATGCTGGAGGTGGTGGGTTCAAACCCAGCTCTAGCCAAAAACAAACAAAAAAAGATCTATAATACAATGCTCAGGGGATAGTAGGTATTTAATCCATAATAGCTATTAGTATGGATGGCACCTAGATTTGATGAGTTTCTTGGGCCGCCCTTCCCAAGCCGGGGCACTGCCAGGCTCCTTACACAACTAGACATCTGGATTGTGCCAGGGTAGCCCCAAACATTACAAAGATCTGGACACATCTCACTGCTGCGTTTTCTCAGAGGCCAGATAAAAACCATCCATTGTAGAGCCTTTAATCCTGAAACTGTCATAATCGGCTTGTAATAGAGACGCATTTTCCCCCAAAGTGGAAACATTTATCTTCACACCTTGCAGCACTTCAAATGATGGCACCTGGCAGACCATTAGCTTTGCTATAGAGGAAACTCCCATGTGGTACGGTTGGGATAGAGAGTGGAGGATGTTTCCTTTAACTTGGAAAGAAACAACGAGTATTATTACTTTTTAATATAAACTTCAAGAGACTGAATTAAAAATTCCAATATAGGAAGACCTGAGGGTCAGGGTCTTCCACGTCCCTCCCAACATAGCCCCTCACTGTGGGGTACAGCTGAGCTCTGCTACCCCTCCTCTCCACACCCTCCCTACCTGACAGGCAGACAAACAGATACACTCCCACTCAGAAACCAGGTGAGCAATGGCGTGGCTGGTGTTTGAAATCACCTGTGCATTCCTAGAAATTTTGGTGAGTAAAAGTGGAAAGCCCTTATCTTGGAACTCTTTTAGGCTCAGTCATGACTCATATGCCACTTGCTAGTTCTCAGCAAATATACTTGTAAATGTAATCCTAGCCGTCTGGAAAGCTGAGGCAGGTAGATTGATTGAGTGAGGAGTTTGACACCAGCCTGAGCAAGAGTGAGATTCTATCTCTACCAAAAAATAGAAAAATAAAAATTTAGCTGGGTGTGGTGGCGGATGCCTGTAATTCCAGCTACTTGGGAGGCTGAGGCAAGAGGATTGCTTGAGCCCACTCTGGGTGGCATAAACAAAGATTCTTCCGCAACTCTATTTTTCTTGATATTTCTTACAACTTTAGAAATAGCCATTGCTTCTGTGAGAGTTGGAGGCTGGACATTCAGTGGTTACAGGCAGAATCCAAGTGAGGCTCTGCTGAAATGCAGCCAGAAATGGATACTAATTTCTGTCTACCAGATGTGAAGACTTGCTCCTTATTTCATAGCGGAGGGTTAGGGCTCGTTTCAGATTCCTACCTACCCCACTGACGGCAGACTACAGTTTTCAACATACAGTATTCAGTCCTCTGTGGAATTTGCCAGAGGTGGGCTAAATGGAAGGGGAGAGGTGGGGGATGGGTGCAGAGGCACGGGCCCTCAGCCTGCCCTGTGCTGGCTAAGAATGGCCTGAGGTTGGGGCTGAACAGGTTTGGCACCAGCCTGCAGTTTCCCCAAATAAGCCCTCCCTCCGGGTCCAGCTTCCTTACAAGTTAGCGTCCTTTCCTTTATAGTCTTTTCCTCACCCACCCTCTGGCTATTTCCTCCCATCTGGGTTTAATTCCAGCAGGGACAACAACCAGTTTCTTCAGGAAGGCTTCCCTGAGCACCTAAGCAGTGATCCTAGAATTCCTAGCATTTTGCGCCATTTACACACCTTGAGCGTTTACAAATCCATGAACTCTTTGAGAGTCTAAGTTTTGGTCATTCCTGTAGCATCCAGGAGTTATCTTCTTGATAAACATTGTAATAAACATGTAATCTTCAAACTTTTCACAATATACCAGAGTCTGTTCCCTGTCCTCCTCTCTCCCATTGGCGATTAGCTGCACTTTTCATGTTGTACCTGGTTCCTTTTTTGGTTGAGACAGAGTTCCACTCTGTGCCCTGGGTACCTGGGTAGAGCGCCATGGTGTTATAGCTCACAGCAACCTCAGACTCTTGGGCTCAAGCTATCCTCTTGCCTCAGCCTCCTGAGTAGCTAGGATTACAGGCTCCTGCCACCACATCCAGCTAAGTTTTTATTTTTCTATTTTTTAGTAGAGATGGCATCTCACTCTTGCTTAGGTTGGTCTCAAATTCCTGAGCTCAACCAATCCACCTGCCTCAGCTTTCCAGAGTGCTAGGACTACAGGTGTGAGCCACCATGTCTGGACATCTTGGTCCCATTCTTTAATGAAAAAGAAAGTTGAGACATGATAAGAGCTTTATCATAGCCTCATAGCCTCACCCCATGGACACAGCAGACAAGGATTTGCATGCAATTTAAGGATGTCTTAGTGATGGGAGATAGAGCTTTGCCTGGCCCACCTCCGAGACCCACAGTAAAATAAAGAGGTCTGTGTTCCTAGCAGCTCAAAACAATGCCAGTTGGTTCCTCCCACAGAGCTCTAACAAGTGTACAGA